ACCCATCCACACCCCACCCCACCCTACCGCGCCACGCCACGCCCCACAAAGCAACAGCGGGCCGTGTGCAGCTTAAACCACAAGCTGGTTTCATTTCGTCTTTGTCGGAGCGGGAAGGAAGAAGGCGTCCGACGTCAAAGAGCCAAGAGCCGTGGCGGGCAAGCGGTTTTGCATATCACACTGTTAAAGAAAAACGTTAGGGAATGCCCCCAGTATTCCATTCGGTAGGGTTTTTTTTAGCAGATGATACCTTAAAAAAAAACTTTTGACTAAACGAAATGAATATATAAGTAACTTTAAGGTGTCAGCTAGCTTTTGCTCTCAATAAGGACAGAGAACCAAGCGCATGACATCACCCAGATGTATAGGGGGCGAGAAGGGCGAGAAGTTGTCCGCCAGTCCCGCCCGCCCTTAAATTTGTATCATCTGCTTTCACGATACGTCCCTCGACGTAGCTTTTTTTTTCTGCTCTGTTTTCTACCTACCACTGCCCAGCCTACACCACACACTTTCAGCCTTCCCCACCCATTCTGCCGGTATTTAGTAACGATGCTTCCAGATCTTTACAACTGACGACTGAGAATTTTTTTTCTTAGCTCACCCTCCGTTCGTACGAAGACAAAACGTGCTAATACTATTACAGACCGACCAAAACAAAAGACCGCAAAAAACAAGAATGTTTTGGGAAACCGTGGTGGCCCCAGGAAAGGGGGGTTGGGCAGGGCAGCTCAGTGTGGGTATGTTGGGAAAAACAGGGTAGCATTGTTAAAGGCCACCGGGCAACAAGCCGCGAGAGGTGCCTTCCCTCCCTCCCAAACCGGGGCCCCACCCCCACCACCCCTACCACCACCACCACCACCAACACCACCACCCACGTCAAGACCGTCAAGCTCGTCCAGTCGCCGGCTCCAGAGAGTCGACCCGCGCGTGGACGCACTGGAGGCGCCGAGGTATGGGAAGGGCGGTGCACTCCACTACTTCTGCGGGTCTCGGCTGGTGCTCGGGCCTCACACACAGAGAAAACCCAGGGGCGGCGGGTGGCACTCTCTTAATGGGGAAGTGTAGCTTCGGACCTGGTTAAGATGAGTCCGAAGGCACATGTAAATAAGATAAGATTTTTCTCTAGGCTATAGACAAAATAAAGCGGTTTTGCAGTGGTTTTTTTGTGCCGTCTGAGTACAACTTCTTTAACTTGTTCCTTCCCGAAGACAAATTCGTACCTAATGAAGATCTGAACAAGGAAAAAGGACGTGTCCATACCTTGATTGGGTCTGTTGCATTACCTTGAGCATAGTAACCTGTAGGGTAAGGGTCTTGCCACAAAGGTGTCTCCAGCAAGTTGGATATCGACACATGAGAATAACAACAGCCACCTCTGGCGTGGCGACCGTTTAGAAGACCGCGCACCACTGGCGACCGTCTGGAAAACCGCTCCCCTCCGCAGACTGTTTGGAAACCCACTTAAACGACTTTTCCACGCATTTTAAGGTATATGGGTATCAAAATGATCCCCGAAAGACGCTGACTCTAATGATTCCGATAACTCGATGTGTTAAAAAACGTCTTTTAAGCGGTTTTCTAAACAGTGTGTCTGTACTCAGCAGAAATGAGCGGTTTTCCAAACGGTCGCCAGAGCTAAAAGGTTTTCTACGCGGTCTTTAGAGGTGGGCGGTTTTTAATCTGGCGTGTCCACATGTTCTTGGGTCGTGCAGCGTATATGTCACACAACCGCTGGACGGACACCCCCGATTGACAGGGTACACAGAAGTGAGCGGGTTCGATCAGCCTCCTGTGGTGAAAGGTTCGGCTGGCAGGCGAGCGCCAGCGTGACGTGGTGCACGGCTGTCACGGGAGTGCGCGCCAGCTTTGATCCGACCGCTGCTCACTCGACCGCGAGCAGGTCATGCATTGGTTCGACAGCAGGAGGTTGGGAGGAGGATGGTCGCGTGTGCGATAAAAACAACCGGCGGCTGCCGTCTGTGAATTATTGGCGAGGATAGAGGACTGCTGATTGCTGCTGATGGGGTTGGCGAGGGACGTCACCGCCGTCACTCGGCCCACGGCCCGTCACACGGCCCACCGCCGTCACTCGGCCCACGGCCCGTCACACGGCATACTTATCGCCAACGCCTAGAGGTGCGGCTACGTGTCGCCACGCCAGCACTCTGCCCATGACCGCACGTCCGTCACCACCATGTCACACAGGGCAAGGGCGGAGGGGCATCTCGTGTGTTTCTGTGTACGCTACGTGTGTGTTTCTTGTATTTCCCTTGAATTTTCTTGTATCTTTAGCGTGAATTTGGATGTATTTCTGTATATTTCTTTGTATTGTAAAGTATTTTTTTTTCTTTGTATTTCTTGCATTTCTGTGTACACGGTTTTCTCGAGTTGGCTCCCCTCGACACAGGACTTCTCGTCACAGCAGCTCCTGGCTCATTTGACCTCTCTACTCCAATGTAGTCCCCAAGTACCTTTAAGTACCTAATATGTTCTTGAAAGCAGGACATAAAAAGTACAGGTCGTAAAAAATGAAGGTTGGACGAGCAGTTTTTGTGTCCCCCCCCCCCCCCCCACAAATAAACTATTCACAATTTGTACAACGAAGGCAGTACACACTAAAAGCTTATGAACATTTTTATTAATAGCTCACTGAGTTCTGTGTATACACCAATTTGTTCATACCGGCGTAATGCGTAAGCGGAGCACGTACACAGAACTATGAACTCTATGAATAAAAACGTTCATAAGCTTTAAGTGTGTAAATCTTGTTGCGTAAATGCGGCGGAACGTGCGATGAAGAAAATCAGCAGAGGCCTGAGCGTGTTGGGAAGCCGTTTTTCAACAAACTAGAAATAGCAATCGTCGTTTAGTCTTTTGTTCTTGTCTGTTTTAGTGTGGCGGCGTCTGCAGGGCGGAACAGGAGCCGACGCCGGTGCGGCGCAGGGCGAGCATGCCGCTGCTGTTCGGCAAGCGGCGGCGGCGACGCCGCTGTGAGGCGGCGCAGGGGGCAGCGCTGGGGGCGGCGGGCCCAGCGGCCGCCCCCGGCCTCGTGGCCGTCCCCGGGTCCGCCCCAGGCGCCCTCGAGCTGAAGGTGCCCACCTCCGCAGCGGGGGGCCTGGCGGCCGTCTGGGACCTGGCGAGCCTCAACGGTGAGGGAGCCGAGCCGCTCTGATCCCGGTGACGGGCGACCCCTTTCCCCTACCCCTCCACCCCCTAGACCTTTCTACCTGCCATCAGGCACCCACCTTACGTACCCCATCCCCCCTTTTGTCTCCCTTTCTCCCCCCCCCCCTTTTTCCTCCTCCCCCCGTCGCTTCCGCTCTCCTTCACGTCATTTACTCCGCCCCCATCTGTTGCCACTCGACTGCTCCCGCCTGGTCCCCGATGACGGCCCCGACGGCCCCGATCACCAGGTGACTGCCTGGACGAGGATGGCGAGGGCCAGCCGCCCGCGAAGCAGGTGAAGATACAGGTGAGTGCTTCTCTGCGCTCGGCTCTTTGTGTGCCGAGCTGAGAGCAGACTGTGTGAGCGTACACCGCGGCAAGTCAAGTGTGTAGTGCTCAACAGCAGCGGGACCGTCATATTTCATGCAGAGAGCGTTGTTAAAAGTGTGATTGTGAGTGCGAGAGTGAGAGTAGGAGTGAGTGAGTGATCGCACTCGCTGCCCTCCCACCCATCTGTTTGCGATCCCCCACAAGCTGCGCCCCGTCGTCCCGTCCCGGGGTTGTCCTCTAGATCCCCCTAAAACATGCGCCGGCGGACACGACGGCCCGGACATGAGCGGGGCGGGGGGCGGGGTGGTGGGTGTGGCGTCCCGAGTGCCCCGGCGCCTCTGTGAAGCTAACAGCTGGTCGATCTAACCCACTTTATTCTGCCTCCAGGGTCCGCAGGACGGGAGCGGTCCGTCCGGGGATGACCGCTCCGATCCCCATCGTCCGGCCGCCGCCCTCACCGGCCCCACCGCCCCCACTGGCCACCCCGACCCTCCCACCCCCACCTCGGAGGAGGTCCTCTCCGTCACCCGCGCGGCCAGCGACCCCGACCCCGACTCCGATCCTACCACAGCGGACCCCACACCCAGCTCAGAGGAGGCCGATGTCACCATGGTGGAGTCCGAGGAGGCCGTCGACGCCATCGACGACATCGTGGTCTCCGACGAGGCTGTCGACGCCATCGTGGACTCGGAGGAAGCCGTCAACGCCACCGTGATCTCCGAGGAGGCCGTCAACGCCATCGTGGTCTCGGAGGAGGCCGTCGACGCCACCGTGATCTCCGAGGAGGCCGTCAACGCCATCGTGGTCTCGGAAGAGGCCGTCAACGCCATCGTGGTCTCGGAAGAGGCCGTCGACGACATCGTGGTCTCGGAAGAGGCCGTCGACGACATCGTGGTCTCGGAGGAGGCCGGGGCCATCGTCGGCGCACCGCCCTCGCCGACCGCCGCCGTCGTGGAGAGCTCAGGAGACAGGTAGGGCAGCCCAACACCAGTGAGTTTCACTTTCTATGCCATAACAGCATAACACGCAGTCACGAGGGGAAAGGACCGAGGGGAAAGGACCGAGGGGGAAACGACTGTTAAACTTTGTTTCAGCCGGATTACGGATTACCCGGATTACCTCCGGGAGTGTCCTCCGGATTACGTTGCTTTTTCTCTAGGATTACCCCGGATTACCCCAAAATTTTCCCAGATCACCCCAAAATTTCCCCGGATTACCCCGTACTTTTTTGAATTTTCTCGGATTGCCGGATTACCTGACGGCTGTCAGCCGGATTACTTCAAGTCGTTTCCCCCTCGGAAAGGACGCAGCTCTCGACGTGGCCGCCCGCTGCCGCTGGCGTGGTGGTGTATCGTTCCTTGTTGTATGGATGAGTCGGGGGCTGGAAGTGTTTGGGGCTGAGGAGGGGTAGGTGGAGGGGTGGGGGGTGGCAGGTGGCGGCGGAGGCGTCCCTCCCCAGCAGGTGTCATTTCCCTCGAGTTGTTCCTCTCTAATTGAACGCGGCCGTGCTCTCTCCACCGCAACTGTAAGCGCCGGCCGGCCGCCTCACTGTGCTCGTGGAGCAACAACTGATTCCTCCCTCCTCCTTCTTTTACAGCAGCGCTATCAAGACCTGTTAGTAAAGGTGGATAAAGAGTTCCCAAAACGCGAGCGTGATTTTCACGGTAGGCGTGATTTTCACGCCAAGCGTGCTGAAATTCGGTTCCTGATTGGCTGTGTGAAGCTCACGAAGCGTTAAAAATCACGCCTGGCGTTAAAAATCACGCCTTGCGTGAAAATCACGCTTGCGTTTCGTGAACTATGTATCCACACTAAGAGGTGGTGGTGGTTGTTGTTGTTGTGGTTCGCTCGTGCATTCAATACAAGTAGTAGATCCAAACCAATAACCCCCTCAAAACCAAACTAAAATGTCAAACCTATCTCGTTGCGATGCCTGTTTTAACACGCTACCATGATGTGGCCACACTTTGCTGGTTTTTCCCTAAACGACCAACATGACAACAAGGATCATGTTAACTAATAACTATCGACCTATTATTATTTTCTCGTACACGATGCCCCTCCTCTCCCCATCCCCCCGCCTCAGCCTTGCTCGGACACAACAGTACGTGTACGATCGACGTGGTGAGGGATCTGTGGAGTGGGGCGTCAATCGCAGGCGGAAACAGGCTGTCTGGCCCTTTTGTACTCTCCGCAAGGCCGCAAGGCCTCGTATCGTAGGTACGTGTGTGTGTGTGTGTGAGAGAGAGAGAGAGGGGGGGGGAGGGAGGGAGGGAGGGAGGGAAAGAGACAGACGGACGGGCGGACTAAGGGACGGACGGGCGAAGAAGAGAGACAGAAGAGAGGAAGAGAGGGAGGGGGCGAGGGAGGGGTGAGAGAGAAGGGGGGATGTGCACGGTAATTGCTCCGTGTGTGCCGTGCCACACCCCCGTCGCCACCGTGCCTCCAGCTGCGGAACACCCTGCCACGCCACGCCACGCCACGCCACGCCACGCCACGCCACGCCACGCCACGCCACGCCACGCCACGCCACGCCAGGATTCGCTCCGCCGCACCACAGTACTACGCTACGCCCCACGCCAGGTAGGCGTGGTGGTAGACGACACGGCAGTCATTTTGACGGAGCCGGCGGCACTGCTGCTGTTCGGCGCACGCTGCCGTCATGCAGCATCGACTTTCGATACACCAAGCGGCACGGGCGTGGCCGTGCGGCGTGTGAGAGGCAAGAGAGAGATAG